TCCCGCCTCATCACTCCTGGCCCCCGTCTCTCCTGCCTTGACTGGGGCTGCTGGAAGGGAGGCGTTCTGGATTCCCTCTGGAGGCATCAGGTTCTGTGCACAACTTGCTTGTCTTTGGGAGCCCTGGGTCTTTCCCACCTGCCTATTTTGGAACTCTTCCCCCCAAGACAGAGCAGGGGTGAGCTGTATCTTGATGCGGTATCTGGGACAAGACAGGTTGCTAGCACATACTTTATTACGCCGCGAGGATAGTCAGCCATTTCTTCCCACAGCCAAACCCTCATCCCCTTCATTTTCCTCCAGTCTCTGGAGGGACTTCTGGTATTACTGGGACAAGGACCACGCTGCCCGTTTGTGAGTTATGGGCAACCAGGGTGCCTGCTCTTCAGCCTCACACCCATTCCCCTGAGGGCAAGGAGCCTGTGTGATCGGGACCAGTCTCTGCCATGTCCTGAGTCTGTCTCAGTCTCGAGCTGTCTGTTGGGCGAGTGCCGTGTGGACAGAGGTAGATGATGCGTGTTCTTGAGGCTGCTCCCTACCCCCTCTGACCTTCCACAGGTGTCACATGGGAATGTGTGGGGTGCAGGGGCAGGTGCAGGGAGAGCTCCTCCTTGCTTTTCGAGCTCTTGCCCACCTCCAACATGTAGGCCCTCCAGGCTGGGGTTTGGGGCTGCTTATGTTTTGGGGATCAAGCCTCCGTGTCTATTCTTGTTGCCTGTCCAGATGCCAAAACTCTGTGTTGCTGCAGGGTTTGAACTTTTGGAAACCAATTAAAATGTGCCTTTTGTGGGCAGGGTCAAGAGCACCTGGATGTTGACCTCTCCCGCTGTGTGGCGTCCCCCTCCCACCTATTGAATACATAGGGATGGTTCTCTCAGGGCCCTGGGAATGAGAATGGGTGGCCCTGCTGTGTGCTCTTCCCCTCTTCTAGAGTTAATCTCTTGGTCTGGCCAAGTTACTCCTCCCTCAACCTTCCTGCCATCTTCCCGTCCCTCAACCCCAACAGGAGGATCCCAGGATGAAAACTGCTGGGCAAGTGGGCAGGCAGGCCTAGGGCTGCCCTGGTGACTCTTATTTTGTCTGGCCTCACAACTTAGCCATGCTAGACCAGTCAGCTTGCCTGTAAGTGGGAGGTCCCACTATACCTTTGGGAGACACCTATACTTAGGAAAAAGCCTCTGTTGCCCTCCCATCCATCCACTAAGCTGCTGTCCCAGCCTGTCCTTCTGTCCTAGGACCTTGCCTGGCTTGGCTGCAGTGCACTTTGAAATGAAGTGTCTGTCCTTTGGCCCAGCCCCTAGTTTGCTTGTAGAAAATATGGCAGGCTTCCCCAAGGCATCTGTAAGGAAACATGGCGGCTTGGTCCACCCTGAATTAGCAAAAATGGGGGGTGATGAGGTACTGAAGGAGGATACTTATGGCCTGGTGAGGAGGCAAGAGCTTCTCTGCGACCACCGCTTCTTCAGGAGAGGGCCAGCGGGCTTGCTTGGAAGGCCTTGGGCAAACACAAGCCCTCTGGGTGATGTCTGTCTGCCGCAAGGATGGAGCAGAGGAGCGCCACACATGGAGGAAAGCCCCTGTAATGCTACCTACTTTAAACTCCACTCATCAGAGCTGAGAAAAGTGTCCACTAGTCCCCAGGGCTTCAGTCATGCTTTTTGGGGGGCATTAGAGAAGTATCTTTTCTGAGAGATGGGGAGTCACCCCCCTACTGGGTATTCATCTGGGCTTTATTCAGTCCCATTCCTGGCCCTGACCTTTGATTGTGGGCCTCCCTAATGCCCAGGGCACGGATGTCGTCAGAGGAGTTTTTGAATCGAAGCCCAGGGTCCTTGTTGATGTTTCTTCGAGCCACACTTGGAGGAGAGTGGGCAGGGAGCAGGCATGGTTCTGCTTTGCTGTTTGTCTTCCTAGTTGTAATTCCTGTTTATAAAGAGCTTGTTCTTCATGTTTTAAGCACTTTATGAAGAATAAAACATTCATGTACTGCAGGTGGCTCTTGTGTTCCTGTTTTGGAAAGAACAGGTACAGGAGGCTGCTGTGGGAGAAGGCACCTTAAATCCAGGTGATGGGATTCTTGGATGACACTGTCCTTGCCCTGACATCAGGGGGCAGCAGCACAGTGTTGCCCAGTAGCCTGAACTGAGTCTTTTCTCACTCCCAGGATACCCACATTTATTGGGCACTTAAGATGGGCCCATTTATTGGTAATATAGAGGGTAAGAAATAGATTCCTATTCTCAAGTTGCATGGTCTAACGGGGGAATATAAGACAGAAATCTAAGATACAAATTGTTCTTCATAGCTAGCTAGACTCTCCCTCCAGGTTTATGAAAACAGTTTCTTGTGGTTCAACTACTAGAGGATGAAAAACTTTGCTACAGCTCATGCAGTGTCCAGAAACACTGGCAGACATGAGCCAACTCTGCATGTTACCATGAGACTGAGACCCAAAGTAGGGTTCCCTAGAGTCAAGATCAAATATTTCTACTGTCATCTTGGGTAAAACAGGCAGCTCCCTAACTCCCCCAGCCTGGGCCACTGATCAGGTAATTCAGCTGGGAATATTCAGTTAATCCATTCTGCAACTGTGTTGTGTTTATTATCCATGCTGGTGCTTACTCCACAATCTGTAGTACTCCCCCTTACCTAACACCCTCCCCACCCACCAGTCCCAAGTTCTCCTGCCCATGAATTAGGCCCAGGAAGGATCTTCCTTGGTTTGCCAGAGAAGGTGAAGGCTGCCAGGGCCCTTAAGTCCCCACTGATGAACTCACAGCCAACACATATTTGAGTCTGTACTGTGAGCCCTCTTATGTCTGGTTCTGAAGACTTAAGTGAATTATAAAATCACAGTCCCTGCCCTGTGAACCTTACAGTAAGAAAGACTGTCTAAAACAGTAAGTAATCGTGAAAGCAAAAGATAAGTACTGGGTGCCATGGAACCTGTATGGGATTTTGTGGAAGGAGAGTGATGGACTGGGAAATGCAATGTTTAGGCTGAAGCCAGAAAGAGCCAGTATCAGGCGAAGATTTAGTCTTCTGGGTACAGAATGTTTAGGGGTCGGAGGTGGAGGGGCAGGCCCCAGCATGCTCCAGGAACTGAGAGTTAGGGCCGCTGGAGAGCACAGGCGAGTAGGCAGGGTGGCGACGGAGAAAACTAAGAGAAGGTTCCGCAGTGCAACACCCTGCAGAGAGCCTTCTGATGTTAACCCTACTCCGCCTGGAGTCTTTGCCCATCTGGTCCCAGGTCGGGCCCGCTCGAATGGGACTCTACTGGGCTGCCTGGCCTCGGGAGCGACGGCCACGGCAGCAACTTTAACTTCTGGGGGCAGGTAAGCAGCGCGGGGTGGTCCGTGGTCCCCTGTGGGGATCTCAGCGACGACACGAACACCATTTCTGGGCTGCCGACCTTGCACCTTGCAATGCGGACGGTGCGCATCGAGACCTCTCCGTTCGGCCGCAACTCCGCAGTCTAGGGTGGTAAGCGCCATGACGCACAAAACTACACTCCCCACAACCCCTTGCGCATCTCTCGCTGCGGTTGCTTAGGGCCAATCGGGAGAGGCAGCTGTGGCGGGGGCCGAGGAGGGACATTTTAAAAGGGCCGGAGATTGCGGGCGTCAGTGGCCATGGCGGATACAGCGACTACAGCACCGGTGGCGGCAGCTAGTGCCGCTAGCGCCTCGAGCGATGCACCTCCTTTCCAACTGGGCAAACCTCGCTTCCAGCAGGTGAGGACCGGGCTGTGGTCTGCGGGCCAGCGGGTGGCAGAGACAAGGCCAGCAAACTCCCCTCCAAAGTCCCCTTCAGCCCGAGGGTCTCCCACCCGCAGCCAGCGGAGCCTGCAGCTAGCGCCTGGAGGGACCTCGGCTACAGCCACCCCATTCCCATTGGTCAGCGGGGCGGGCTCGGACTCCCACTATGGCTTCCCATTGGCTCTTGGCGCCGTCATTCCCTGGCTGCCCGCGCCCTCTAGCCTTTCCCGCCCGCGGCGCCCTGTGATTGGCCGCCGCCGGCTGCGGTCAGGGTCCCGAGCGCCCCGCTCCGAGCGGCTGCTCAGGGTCTCTCCCCACTGTGCAGCTGCTCGCCCGGAGCGCAAAGTTCTAGTCCGGCCCTGGATGGGAAGTTGGCGTGGCCGGGATGCCTTCTAACTTTTTTCTCCGGTGGGGACTGACGTTCCTTTCAAGCTGCTGGCGGAGCCGCCGGGCAGCGTCGCGCCCCGCGGTCATCCCCCAGCCCTGGCCCCCAAGCCGGGCCCGGCGCGCGCGACGGGTTTGGGGGCGAGTGCCGAGGCGAGAGGCGGCCCGGCGACCCCCGTGCCCGCGCCCCCTCGCGGGCTGAGGATTCGCTGACGCAGCGAGCCGGCCGCTGCCCTGCGGGGATGCAGCCCGGGCGTGCGGGGGAAACGCTGTGTCATCCCCTGAGGCCGCCCTCTCTTCGAGGGGCTCGGGAGCCCCCCCCCCACCTCTCCCTCGCTGCGTCCTCTGCAGAGGTCTCCCGGGCCTGGGCCCTCGCACCGCGGGGCACTGGCTCTGGGCAGACCCGCTCGTGCTCTTCGGTGCACGGCGACAGGGGTTCTTTCCTTCCGGGACCTCCGCTGGGTCGTCGCCGACTCGGTCCTGGTCTGCGGAGGCGGGGGTGGAACGCCGAGCCCGGGCGCCTACCTGGGCCCGGAGCCGGAGAGGGGCGGCTCCCGCGCCCCAGACCCGCGGGCTCGCAAGCCTCCCGCACCGAGGCGACGGAGTTTATTAGGAAACGGACAGAGAGACCGCTGAAGTGAACCGGGGATTGCCAGGGGTGGGCGGCAGCCGAAGCGGCCAGAAAAGAACTTTGCAGAAAGAAAGGAAATTGTGCAAAGGTCGGTGCGGTGGCTTTTTTTTTTTTTTTCCCCAAATCGTGGTGGTTGAAGGGGGACAGGTTCCAGCAAAAGGGGGCCTCGAGCTTTGCTGATAATTAGGGAACTTGGCTCCTGAGCCGTGTGAAAAAAATGCCCCCAGTGTTTCTTAACAGGACTTTAATTCCTTTTAAAAGTAGGCCATCTCAGCATGTAGGTATCCAAGGCGAGACTGGCATCTTCCTTCCAGCGTAGGAGGCCATCTAGGATGAGATTGTTGGGGTGCACACCTCTTGGCCCCACACGTCTTTGGCCACCTTAAGTGGGATCTTCATAGCTCTGCATACAGTCTGCCCTGTGGTCCTCTAAATGTTTGCTGTGTGATGACTTGGTTTCCTCAAACCGCCTGCAGCCTCTTGCCAGAAGGGGTTGAACTTGCCCTTCTCTGCCTCTGTCTTACCCTGATTAGAGGCAGGTTAGGCATATTAATGTGCCGAGTAAAAGCTTTGTGAGGTTTTTTTTTTTTTCTCCAGGTGTCTGTTATCTGTATGTGGCACTTGGGACATTAAGTTACCCAACAGACATTTATCAAATATGACTTAGTGGCTTAGATGACTGAGCCCTTTGCTGTGAGCACTGCTCTAGAGCTATAGATAAACATTTGAGGTTACCTTGTTCCTGCAGCCATTGCGGTACTTCTTTTTGGCATCGCTCTTGAAGGCAGTAAAAGTATTTGTTTTATCCACTTTTGAAGCTCCCTCCTCCATCATAGTGACCTGCATAAAGCACATTACATGTGATTCATCCATGTTAAGGATCTTCTCTTTCCTCCACACCTGCTCCTCCCGGATGGCTCCCTGTCTCTGCAAGCAGCCCAACTTGCCACCCAATCAATGCAGTCAGAAACCTGGGAGCCACCTGTGTTCTTTCCTTCTCCCTCACCCTCTAAATGGAACCAGAGACCCAGTGATCTTACCTTTTACACAGCTCTCAAGTCCACCCACCCCTACTGCCAGAATCCTGGACCAAGCTCTCATCGTCTGTTTCCTGGGCCACTGCAGTAGTCTCGCAACAGGTCTTCCTGCTTCCATTCTGGCCCTCTTCCAGCGCCTCCTCCTTCTGCAAGGCAGTGTCCCAACAATAGAGATCTGATCAAGGGACTCCCCACCCCCTTGCACATTTAAATACCCTCCAATGGCTTCCCCTGGTTTTGAGTTAAAGACCTCACTTCTGAAGGGGCCCCGAAAGTGTGCATGGCCCACCCCACTGACTACTACTTGCTTAAATCACACCCTCCACCCACCCACCCACACCTTGCACCCTCCCTCACATCACACTGGCTGCTTTTCAGCCTCTGAACCCACCATGTTCCCTCCCACCACTGGGCCATCTGCTTGGAACATCACCTTTTCCTCTGTCCCAACTCTTGTAACCACTCTTCCTTATCCCTGGTGTATCTATCCATGAAGCACCACTTTCTTGGAGAAGCCTCCTGCCACTCCCAGGTTGAATTTTTTACTGTTCCCTTACTGCAAAGCACCTATCTCGGTGTATACATTGATTTGTGATGATTATTTCTTTGCCATTTATGTCTCCCTTTCAACTATGGACCTTGTGGAAGTGAGGGCTGTGCCTGCCTTCACTCCATGTTGACTCTCCCAAGGCTCAGCACAGTGCCTGGCAGTTAAGAGGTGCTTAATGAAAATTTGTTGTATGTATACGTGAATATCTTGGAGACAGTTCAGTAGGGCTTTGCAGAGTTGAATTAAATTGACTCGTAAGATTGTGACTGGGGAGGTGGGCCAACTTTTTTCCAAATTCTCCCTGAGGGATCTTATAAAATTGCAGCCAATGGGGGCATGTTTAACAATGTAAGATTCATCAGTGCTGAGACACCCCAGAGTTGAAGTGTCTCTAAGGAGGTGAGTCTAAAGACACAAAGGTTGGCCACATATGTACTAGGTTGACGAGCTCTTTTAGGGCCCATCCTACATCTCTGTGTCCTGCCCTGACATGTAATAGTTGTGTAATATGTGCTCATAGTACCTTGTGCTGGCCTGACAGAAGCCTGCTTCAAGGTGGTTGATAATCCAGGGTTCATTCCCAGCACGCATGCCAGGGACATGACTCTTGTTCCCTAACTAATCTCACCACTTTCTGCAGGATTTGGCACCAAGGTCTTTCCTTATTCCCTGGAGTCACTCCAGAACTCTTCTTTACTTCCTCAAGGGTCTCCCTGTGCAAATGGACAGGGGGAGGAAGAGGGTGGAGGGTGTGGAGGATCAGAGGGTAAAGAAAGATGATGGGTGTTGGTCTGTGACTTTCTTTCTCCCCATAAGATGGTGACGATAGCCAGGCATCATTCCATCCTTTTTGTGTATTGTCTTATTCATTTTTCACAACAACCCTGTGAGGCAGATGTAATGATCTTCATTTTATGGGTAATAAAACTGCAGCACACAAACAGTTACTTAACTGGAAGGTTAAGTAACTTCCCAGTCAGTCTGGCTCCAGAGTTCATGTTTGTTTATTTATTTGTTGTCAACTTTTTATTATGGAAGTTTACAAACATATAAATCTGGAGACAGTTGTCAGTGAACCCTTATGCACCCATCATCCAGTTTCAGCAGTTGCCAACTTAAAGCCAACCTTGTTTCATCTATACACCCAACCCCCACAACTCATATCAATGAATTTATTGTGAAGCAAAGCCCAAACATCCCATCATTTCATTGAACCTATTAATAGGTGTCTCTTAAAAAATAAAGACTCTTTAGTTAGCTTTTTAAAAATAAACTTTTTTACTTTGGAATAATTTTAGACTTACAGAAGTCAAAAGACAGTAGAGAATTAATTCCTGCCTAGCCCTCATCCATTGTCCTCTATTATCGTCTTCCATTGCCACATTTTTCAAAACTTAAGAAACTAACATTGGTACGTTATCATTAACTACACTCCAGACTTCGCTGAATTTTACTGTTTTTTATACTAATGCCTCCTTTCTGTCTTAGCATCCCATCCAGGAACATGTTACATTTAGTCATCATGTCTCTTTAGCCTCCTCTGGTCTGTGACAGTCATAGTACCTGGGAGTTTTTCTCAGAATTTGCTTGTTTTTGATGACCTTGACAATTTTGGAAGATTTTTTTGTAGAGTGTCCCTCAACTTGAATTTGCCTACTGTCTTTCTTTTGGGTAGACCGGAGTTATGGTTTTGTTTTGTTTTGAGACTGGAGTCTTGTTCTGTCGCCCAGACTGGAGTGCAGTGGTGCGATCTCGGCTCAGTGCAACTTCTGCCTCCCGGGTCCAGGTGATTCTCTTGTCTCAGCCTGCCGAGTAGGTGGGATTACAGGCACGAGCCATCACACCCAGCTAATTTTTGTATTTTTAGTAGAGACAGGGTTTCACGATATTGGCTAGGATGGTTTCAATCTCGTGATCCGCCCGTCTTGGTCTCCCAGAGTGCTGGGATTACAGGCTTGAGCCACCGTGCCTGGCCTCAGAGTTATGGGTTTTGGGGTAAGTATATCACAGAGGTGAAGTGCTCTCTTTATCATATGATATTGGAGGGTTTTTTGATTCGTTTAACATAACCACACCCTTAAAACACCTAAAATCATTATTTCTTTTTTCTCTTTTTTAGAGACAGGGTTTCTGTCTGTCACCCAAACTAGAGTACAGTGGAACAGTAGGGCTCAAGCAATCCTCCGGCCTCAATCTCTGGGTTAGCCACCATGCATGGCCATATATATATATATATATATATATATATTTTTTTTTTTTTTTTTTTTTTTTGAGACGGAGTTTCGCTCTTGTTACCCAGGCTGGAATGCAATGGCGCGATCTCGGCTCACCGCAACCTCCGCCTCCTGGGTTCAGGCAATTCTCCTGCCTCAGCCTCCTGAGTAGCTGGGACTACAGGCACGCGCCACCATGCCCAGCTAATTTTTTGTAGTTTTAGTAGAGACGGGGTTTCACCGTGTTGACCAGGATGGTCTCGATCTCTTAACCTCGTGATCCACCCGCCTTGGCCTCCCAAAGTGCTGGGATTACAGGCTTGAGCCACCGCGCCCGGCCAATATATATATATTTTTTGTAGAGACAGGTGTCTTGCTATTTTGCCCAGGCTGGTATCAAACTCCTGACCTCTAATGATTCTTCTGCCTCAGCTTCCCAAAATGCTGGGATTTACAGGCATGTAAATGAGCCACTGTGCCTGGCCCATTAATTCTTAATATCATCAAGTAACCAGTCACTATTTATATTTCCTTGATCATCACATAATTTATTTGTAGTTGGTTTGTTTGAATTAGGATCCCATAAGCCCCACATATGATTACCTTTGAGTATCTCTCTTTTGTATCTTTTATTTATTTTTTTGAAGACAGAGTCTCTCTCTGTCACCCAGCCAGGAGTACAGTGGTGTGATGTCAGCTCACTGTAACCTCCGCCTCCGGGGTTCAATTGATCCTCCTGTCTTAGCCTCCTGAGTAGCTGGGATTGCAGGTATATGCCACCCCACCCAGCTAATTTTTGTATTTTTAGTAGAGATGGGGTTTCGCCATGTTGGCCAGGCTGGTCTCAAACTTCTGACCTCAGGTGATCCACTCGCCTCCACCTCCCAAAGTTCTGAGATTATAGGCATGAGCCACTGCACCTGGCCTTTTTTTGTATCTTTTAATCTGTTAGTTCTGTCTTCCTCTTTTCTCTTTATATTTGTTGAAGAAATGGTTGTTTGTCCCTGTAGAATTCCCTCCTTCTCAGTGTAGCTGACGGCATCTCTGTGATAGTGGTTAGCATGTTCCTTTGGTCCTTGTGCATTTAACTACTACCCCAAGTGCCTAGTCAAAGGGAGGAGATGACAACGCAGCACCCAGGGAACCTCTGAGAGCTACTTTGCTTCTTTTCCTCCTCCTTTTCTGCTTATTTCCTCTACTGAACTCACTGTTTTCCCTTCTGGCACAGACACCATGTTTACCAAGTTGGGGCCTCAGGACAGGAAACAAACACACATACTTTCTTCCATTTGTGTTTCAGTCCATTTATAAATTGTTGTCCCGGGCCAGGCATGGTGTCTCATGCTTGTAATCTCGGCACTTTGGCACTTTGGGAGGCTAAGGCGGGCAAATCACTTGATGCCAGGAGTTTGAGACCAGCCTGGCCAACATGGTGAAACCCCATCTCTACTAAAAATATAAAAAATTAGCTGGGCATAGTGGCAGGCACCTGTAATCCCAGCTACTCAGGAGGCTGAAGCAGGAGAATTGCTTGGACATGAGAGACGGAAGTTGCAGTGAGCTGTGATCGTACCATTGCACTCCAGCCTGGGCAACAAGAGCAAAATTCCATCTCAAAAAAAAAAAAAAATTGTCCAGGTGCAGTGGCTCATGCCTGTAATCCCATCACTTTGGGAGGCCAACACAGGAGGATTGCTTGAGGCCAGGAACTTGAGACCATCCTGGACGATATAGTGAGACCCCATGTCTACAAAAATTTTGAAAACCAGCTGAGCGTGGTAGCATGCCCTGTAGTCCCAGCTACTTGGGAGGCTGGGGCAGGAGAATCCTTTGAACCCAGAAGTCTGAAGCTGGAGTGAGCTATGATCACACAGCTGCACTTCAGCTGGGCAACAGAATGAGACCCTGTCTCAAAAAAAGAAAAAAGGAAATAAGTTTTTTTAACAACTTCCGGCAAGGTGTGATGGCTCATGCTTGTAATCCCAGCACTTTGAGAGGCGGAGATAAGCAGATCACTTGATCCCAGAAGTTTGAGACAAGCCCAGGCAACATGGTGAAACTCTGTCTCTACAAAAAATATAAAAATTAGCCCTGTGTGGTGACACATGCCTGTAGTCCTAGCTACTCCAGAGGCTGAGGTGGGAGAATCACCTGAGTCCAGAATCACCAGCGGTTGTGGTGAGCTGTGTCATGCCACCGCACTCCAGCCTGAGTGACAAAGTGAGACTCTGTCTCAAAAACAAAAATTCCTTGCTCCTATGGAAGTCTAATTTATCTGCTGAGATGACTTGGGGTATGAGCGTGCTGGGGACCAAGCCTAGGTGAGCAGAGCAGGCTGGTTCCACATGGCTGCCTCTGGGGCATGGAGAGCTTGCTGGGCAGAAAAATGCTTTCTTCACTTCAAGGTTGGAAGGTTTGTGTGGGCTGAGAGTTGAGAGGCAAGGGGGAAATTTCTCATAGTTTGCTTGAAATAAAGTTCTAAAATCACAGTACCCTGCAGGTAGTTATGTATTTTAATCATTTTCTTCC